AAAAATATTTAAAAGGAGATAAAAATGAGTAATTTTTTGATTATTTTATATTTTTTTAATATGCAAATGATTTGATAACTCTAAAATTTCTAAACAATTTAATTTAAATTTAATCAAAATAATCAACTTTTCCTATAAGCAATTACATGAACAGGTTTATGAGAATCAAGGAGAAACAATCTACTTTTTTCTATAAACAATAATATAAACAGATTTATGAGAATCAAAGAGAAATAATCTATTTTTTCCTATAAATAATTACATGAACAAATTTATGAAAATCAAACCTTATTGATGAAATTGTAAGAGCTGTGAATAATGGAAGCACACCAAATAGAGAAGATGGAATTGAAAGAGGAAGATGAATGGAGATTTGACTGGAGAAGAAAAAAGGAGTCTAACGTGTGAGACTCTAAATGTCTGGCAGAAGAAAATGAAACGCTTCAACTTTTTTAGGGTCTAATATTTACATTTATCTCTCTTAATAAATACATGAATATTTATTTATTTATTTTTATAAATAAACATAAAGGAAATGACTAAAAAACCTAATCTAAAATATATATATTAAATTAACTATATTAAAATAATAGGCGGGGCGGGGTCCCCGCGGGGCGGGGGGTGTATTCCCCGTCCCCGTCCCCGAAATGCTCTCGGGGGAATTTTTCTCCCCATCCCCGCCCCCACGGGGGAAAATTCCCCATCTTTGGGGCCCCGAACGGGGCGTTCCCCGCGGGGATCCCCATTAACAGGTCCAAACTGACATCCCTAAGGACCATCGGTTGTTTACCAATTTCCACAGTAACCAAGCGCATGTTGTACATAGACCATGTTTTTATCAAAATTTAGCCAATCATAAAACTATGGAACTAACAACTATAAAATTATTATAAAAAAAAATTGATTCAAACGGACCCAAAATATCAAATAGATGTAAAATTATAAATAATGTTCAATAATAATTTTTAATTTAAGTACAAAAAGAACATTTAATTTAATTAATAAAATCCAATATTTATAAGAGAGTTATATACATAATACACATATCAAATCTCTTAAAGTAAATATATGTGAAGTGAAATCAATATATAAAATAATATTTTAAGAGTTAAAAGGTAGTGCATTGATAATGCAAAATAATTTTACACGAATATTTAATGAAAATTCATCATTTAACTATATTATATAATTTATTTAAAAATAATAGTATGACTTGACACTTAACATGGTTGTAATTGATTGACAGTGTAAACTTATTTTACACCATTAATACCTACTTTTTTCTTTATATTTTAATTTCATTTGAGTAAAATTTTTGATTTTTTTTTAGCAATAACTAGGTATTAAAAAAAACACAAATAACCATATTTTAGAGAAAATTACACAAATAACTATGTTCTAGAATATACATCAATGGAGGCGCCATCTCACTTGGAGCATGCACTCACCTTTTTGCCTTAGGCGCCATCTCACTTGGCGCATTCACTTTCTTTTAGCCATGTGAGATGGCGCATGCACTATAATATGGGGAGGAGGCGCCATCTGAGATGGCTACTACGTGCAATTGTATTTTCTATAAATAAAACATCCATTTCTCCATCACTTTTCACGCTTTCTCACATTCTCTTCTCATTTTCTCTCTGTTTTTTACATCATGACATCTCCCATGATTTTCACCAGAGACGAGTATGTTATTTTCTTGGCCACCAAACCTCCGATGAAAATGAAATTTTAGCACATTCACTCCATGGAGCGTCTGAAGAGAGAGTTGATGTGATGGCTAGAGGGAGACATTGAAGCTGGGAAAAAATTAGAAGGATCCAGAGAAGAAGAATAACCACCTCACTTGCAATTGGAATACCTCAATCTTGGTTGGAGGAAGTCAAAACAGACAGAGACATAATGGTGACGATGTATGACTCAGATAAAATTATTTTGACAGTTGTAATTTCTTAGATGTTTTATCGTGTTGTTGATGTTATATTTACATGTATTTTATCATAATGGCGGTGATGTGTTTTTATTTGTTGTTTGTGTATGGTTTGTTGTAACAAATGCTCTTAATGAAAAAAAGTTACATTTAGTTCTTAAAAAAGTGCAGATAATTTGCATATAATTTATATGTTGCCGAACTTGTAGCACGAGTGAGACAATTTTTCGATTGTGTCTGACCTAACGACATAAACCACACTTTCTTTCTAACTTGTCAAGGGAGTCTATTTCAGTTGTGATACACTTGCTTTTGGGCAACCCTTTTTATTCTTTTGCATTTGATCATTGTGCCATATTATTTCCCCTTCGTATGCAAGCCAATAATCAGGTTTTGCTACCACTGGAAAGCCATTATTTTATACGCGGAGCAAGGTTTCAGACTTGTAAATGGGAGATAAAAGTAGTAATGCATCTTAATGAGTATACGTACATGCCGCAATAATATAAGAACAAGGCATACGAAAGGCTTGAAACTTTCCACAATCGCACTAATAAGATGGTAGTATAACCCAATTCTCTTGTCTTGGCAGCCCCTCTTCGTGGTCGATTGTCTCTTTGACAATAAAGTTATGGCTATGCTAGTTGAACCTTGTAACAAGATGGGTGTTGGCTTTGACACCTTCTGACTTAATATATTTCATGCAACTTTCACTCCATAGTTATCCTGATTGTAAGACCACATTCCATATTTCACCTCTTTTTGCAAACAACAAAGCCATCCTAAAATATTTTGATTTCACCAAAGCAGTTACTGGGAGGTTTCACATGCCTTTGAATACACTGTTCATTGATTCAATGAGATTTGTTGTCATGTGGCCCCATCATTGTCCATTGTCGTACGACCTTGTCCATTTATCCACTGGTATATTATCAATCCACCTATCTGCATCCGGATTTGACAATCAGATCTCGTTGCGATATTGTTTGAATGAAAGTTGTGTTAATGCGTGCCCCGCTTTCATAACTGTTTTCCTAAGAGCCTTGTCTTTGATCTCCCTCGTGAAATTTTGTATGATATGTCTAATGCAATAGACATGTGTAGAAGGAGGGTCATGCCAACCATTTACAGGATTATTGTATGCACTCTCAATAGATGCATGTCTGTCGGAGATCAAACATAGACCAGGTTATGGAGCCACGTGTAAGTCAACAAAGTAAGTCAATAGCTTAAATAATTTATTATTCATCCTTTTTGCCAAATAGATGTATAAAATTAATTTTTTTTCCATTCCTTTAGGTACTGTGTAATGGGTATGGATTACAGCAAGAATCCAAGATTCAATGTCGCTCTATACCGTAATATTTTGGATCACCTTGGACCAGATGATGTGCGTGGTACCTCTAAACTTTTCTACTTTTAAATTATTTATTTTTAACATTTTCAATATTCTGATTAATTTTTATTCACAGTTTATTTGGAGACCATATTTGGGTTTGGACCATGAACCCAACCCCGATGATACAACACTTTGGACTGCAAAGACTGCAATCATACGGTTCAACATTGTGGAGATGCACCACAGTGACCGTGTCAAGATGAAATTCAGAATGCATCAAGAAATACTATGCGATCCAACTTCTTTGTCACCTTGTCATCTCAAAAGGGGCGACGCCCAATGAGGTGTTAATAATTGGAAAGATTTTGCTCCGGAATGGTGTAAGATGTGGCGTAGGCGTCACCAATATGTCTTACAATTTCCTATTTTCCTCAACCAAATTAATATGCGACACACAAATCAGTCATCCTATCACTATAGCACCCAACAATCATAGTACCAAACCCCACAAGATTCATTTTCTTTTTACCCCCTTATTCAGACGATCAGTGCTATCGACTACTCATGGAACCTCACCCCAACCAATACGATCAAACTCTGAGAGCATGGATAACCGACTGTTTGAAAGCGGATCTTCTGGATATGATGATATGACGACTTTCATGGATCCTTAACGCATTGACTCCGCATGGCCCTCAACCCAACCACAACAGGAAATATGTCGAAACACACCACGAGTTAGGCGAGGACGCGGGTGCGTAACTACAAGTCGTTATCGAGTCTCTGGAGACAACTAAATAATGTGTATTTTTTATTTTCATTATATAATCGTTTAATTATTATTGAAAATCAACTTTCATTTGTAACGACATTGCCTTTTAATTCTTAAATTTTTTTTTTTGCACCTAGGCGCCATCTAAGATAACTTAGGGCAAATGATATGCACCTAAGCGCCGTCTCACTTAGCGTCTTCTTTAGAAAAAGCAATGCACGCACTATCTGAAATGACTACTGCATTATAACATTTTCTAAAACATAATTATTTACGTAGTTTTCTTCGAAACATGGTTATTTGTGTATTTTTTTTCAAAACATGATTATTATTAAAAAAAATTCAATTTTTTTTATAATATCCATGCATTTATAAATAATTTTGTTTATTTTTTCTAAATTGATAACAAAACCACATGCTTTGATATTTGTTGAAATAATATTGATTTTAGACAATATTTTAATTAAAAAAGTATTTTATTAAAAAAGTTATAATGTAGTTTTTGAAATCTAACATAATTGTCTTAACATCTTATTCTTTAATTGACTGTCATATTTTTCTGAATTATATTTTTATTAGCATTTATATACATTAATTATTACAATATTTTTATGAGAAAAAAAATGATACATTAATAATGTAAAAAAATTTTAATCATCAATCAATCACGATTACGAATCTGGTTAAAATATAATATGATTTTTAAAAAAAATTTATATGACATAACAAAATAATATATTTTTATTAAATAACATTATAAATTTTTTTTATACTATCAATATATTTTCTTTACACTCTATTTTTATATGGCTTTATCCTTCTTAACTTCAACAAATTAAAAGTAAAGATAAAAATAAATATGTAAGAATTTTATTTAAAATAAAATAAAGTAGTACTTACAAATAAAACACTGTAAACAAAACGCACAGCTGTACTTTAACTGTGATATGTGTTGATTATTTTTACACACTACTTGGTCATTTTTACTCTCTCATCAACCTTCTTACCTTTCTCCTCCTTCCCCAAATTTCCCAATCCTTATCTACCATATCCATCCTGACCCCACACCCTTTCCCATTCAACGGCCCAGATCTCCTCGTTGGATTGTGCTAGGGTTTACGTTTACCCTAATTCGCCCCCCTTTTATACTCTCTCGCTTCTCTCAATTTCACTCCTTTCCTCACCGCAGTGCTCTTGCTCTGCTTCCTCTTCCGTCGTCGTCATCTATTTCTCGATATTTATTTTATTTTTATATTTTATTTTGTATCTTTTTTATCGCATCTCTCCATTCCCTTCCCTCTCCTCGTTTTCCCCAAATCAAAATCAAAAAAATTATTATTTATTGTTACATCTGTTTTTTTTTTCTTTTTTCTGTTCTTCCTAGGTTTTATTGTTATCAATAACAGAGGAGGGGGGAGAGAAAAAAAAAGAAAAAAAATTAGGATTTTTTTTGGGAAAAGATCGTTTTTTTTGTTGTTGAGGAAGTGAGATGGCTCAGGTTCAGGTTCAGCCTCAGAATGCGATGACGGGTCCTAACGGTGGCGCTGCGGCTGCGGCAGCGGCTGCGGCTGCGGCTGGTGGGAATCAGTTTGTGACGACTTCGCTTTACGTTGGAGATCTTGATGTCAATGTTACGGATTCTCAGCTTTATGACCTTTTTAATCAATTGGGTCAGGTTGTGTCTGTTAGGGTTTGCAGGGATTTGACCACTAGGAGGTCACTTGGTTATGGTTATGTGAACTACAGCAACCCTCAAGATGGTTAGTTTTCCTCTTATTGATTGCTGTGTTCCTTTGAAATTTTTAAGCTTTTGATTTGCTGAATAATTGTGAATTATCTTTCTTGTTTGATTAAGAATTGGATTTCACTAATCAATTTTTAGTTTTTGAAGTAGGGTTATATGGTAATTTTGGACACTGGTTATGTAAAATTAGTATATGTATTCTTGTTAATTCAATGGTGTGGTTAATACTAGTAGTTTGATTTTGTGTACTGCTTTGTCAGTGAAACCAAAAGTGTAAGACCACTTGTAGAATAAAAAATGGATGTAGGAGAATGTTTTGGCCTTTTTGTTGTAAAAATAATTATGGGTAACGTTTGTTAATCTTAATTAATATGTTATACCTATAATTTCAATGGTAGAAGAGTGTTTTTATGGTTAAGCAAGTTAGTTGGGGATTATGGATGTTATATACTGCAATGATGTAAGATTTATTGCTCATGAATGTTGCTGTGCAATAATTGCTAATGTATGGATGCTATTCTCTCTGGGGAAAATGTGCTTTGCATATCAAAAACTAATTTGCGGAGAGCCAAAATCCTACCATACTGGCCGCTTTGTGGCACTGTTATAGTGGATTATGGCGGAAAAACCTGCAATATCGGCCAGTATTTACCATTGTAGGGAGCCCAAAAACCGCCATGTATATCTGCCATAGCGGCGATGGCGCCACTCTTAGATAACACTGATTTGTGTCTGGTAGATAGTTGACTTTTACTTGTATGCTTACCTTTTTCCTTTATTTCCACTAATTTAACATATTATCCAGCAGATGCTTGCACTACTTGATGACTGATATAACTTTTGATTTTTCATGTTAACAAGGTTACTTGCTAAGTAGAATCAACGGTATTTCTTAATGGAATGCTGCAGTAGAAACTCTGTGATAACTCTACTTCAAACACTTTAAGTAATGCTGGTTACCTCCATGGTAACTGAATGTTTTAGACAGTGACTGTTATGCAAATAGGAATTATTTGGAGCTAGATTTGTATAGGATTTTGCATACCAGCCAAAGCCCTGCATGTATAGTGTGTATAATCTCTGTTATGTTAATAGCTTTACAAAGGGATGAATTCCATACTTATAATTGGCGCTGGATATAAAAATTCTATGTTTTTGTTTCGTTTTATTGTTCTCTTGTGATTGTTTTAACTTAATTCTCTATCACTACCTCTATTTCAAAACTTTTGTTAATCTGTTTTTAGTTTTTTTGACTTCCTCTTGCTGTCGTTAGTATTATGTCATAAACATGTCATATAATGTATGAGAATTTGTCAGTTGAGGACTCTATTTGTTATCACTAACATGAGTTTATCAGTAACACATCATATGGAATATTAAAGTAGTGGAATGTTGTGTACTTTGTTACAGTCAATCTTAGAGTTACTGGCCAGGAGTATTGTACAGCAGTATGCTATCACGATCTATCCTTATGTCATGAAAATTTGTATGGTGTGATTTTCACTTAACATTGACTTAACCTTCATGTACAGATCTTCGAGTTTTTATCCTCTTGAGTAATTCAATCATTTATTTTGTTGCTGTTGTGGTAACCATGCATTTTATGTGTATACAGCTGCCAGAGCATTGGATGTTCTGAACTTCACTCCTTTGAACAACAGGCCCATTCGTATTATGTATTCACACCGTGATCCCAGCATCCGCAAAAGTGGTCAAGGAAATATATTTATTAAGGTATACCTAACTTTGTTCTTCCATCCTTGTCTGATAATGGAAAAAATCATGCCAAGCTTCTGGATTGCATATCCTAGATTGACATGTTTGAACTATTTTGGAACTTTCTAATTTCATGATTATTGCAGAATTTGGACAAGGCAATTGACCATAAGGCATTGCATGATACCTTTTCTACATTTGGGAGTATCCTTTCTTGCAAGGTAGCTGTTGATGGATCTGGCCAATCAAAAGGTTACGGCTTTGTTCAATTTGACAGTGAGGAGGCTGCTCAAAAAGCTATTGAAAAGCTTAATGGTATGCTGTTGAATGATAAGCAAGTTTATGTGGGACCCTTCCTTCGCAAGCAAGAGAGAGAGACTACAGCTGACAGGGCAAAATTCAACAATGTTTTTGTTAAGAATCTATCGGAAACAACCACCGATGATGAGTTGAAGCAGATTTTTGGAGAATTTGGAACAATTACCAGTGCTGTAGTAATGAGGGATGGGGATGGGAAATCAAAGTGTTTTGGATTTGTAAACTTTGAGAGTACCGATGATGCTGCCAGGGCTGTTGAGGCTCTTAATGGAAAGAAAATTGATGACAAGGAATGGTATGTTGGAAAAGCTCAGAAGAAATCTGAAAGGGAGCATGAACTGAAACAAAAATTTGAGCAGAGCATGAAGGAAGCCGCTGATAAATATCAAGGGGCAAACCTGTATGTCAAAAATTTGGATGATAGCATTGTTGATGACAAACTTAAGGAGCTGTTCTCCTCTTATGGTACAATTACCTCTTGCAAGGTATGTATAATTGCTATGATTGGTTTCTCACTAAATATCCACCTGGTACATAATCTATACGTTGCTTTCATTTCAATCGAAAGGTAATGAGAGACCCCAATGGCATAAGTCGAGGATCTGGGTTTGTTGCATTCTCTACTCCTGAGGAGGCGTCTAGAGCAGTAAGTCGTATGGTATATTCTTGGTTAATAGAACAGGTGGATTTTTAGGTTGGAACTGATTTTTTTTTGTTGTGCTAATTTTTTTGGCTAGCTCTTGGAGATGAATGGCAAAATGGTGGTAAGCAAACCTCTGTATGTGACTCTGGCCCAGCGGAAAGAAGATAGAAGAGCTAGGCTGCAGGTATGTGTAGATGCAACTATTTATTACCTCTCCATACTAGAAAAAACTAACCACACCTGTGGGTGCAAAAGGAAAACCTTTGAGCTTGCTAGGTGTTCGACCAAAAAACTAGATGATAGAATTGGTGCAAACATTCAAATTTTTAAATCAGCTTAACTTTTGATGATATTATGGTAGTAAATCAGTTTGAGCTGGTCTCTTTATTTTTGTTTTCTCTTAGTCCATCTAGGCAATTGTTATTAAACTCGGGCATTATCTGTTGTTTATTTTTGTTCATATTCAACCATTTTTCTGATAATCAAGGCTTTAAATATTAGGTACACTTATAGATTGTTATTATTTAGCTTCTTAGTTATCTTGTTTGATGTATATAATCTGGTCATTTTGTTTATGATTTAATACTGTCATTTTATTGGTAATTTAAATTACTCTCCTACTTGATTTCTTATAATTTTATGGTTTATTACTTATTAAAATCCATGCCTCTTTTGATTTTTAGATCATTTGTAATACATATGTGAATTAAACTTTTACTGTTTCTCTCCATATGCAACCTGTGTTTAAGGTTTCTTACTGAACTAACCTTATTAATAAGTATTTGTGTGTCCCACCATCATAAATGCCAAATGGAATTTAACTCTTTGGGAGTAGAGGGTACAAATGGAAAAATTATAATTAATTCTACACTGAATGGTTGAAGTGACATTTAGTTTGAAACACGTTTTCTTTGCTAAAGTGGGTATACTCATTGGGAAATAGACGGAGTGTAATTATTATTTTTTGTCCCAATTTGATAGGAGTGGGATTGTTCCTTTGATAATGTTGTGCCTTGTTTATCATCCAATAAATTGTGTGGTTTATTGAGTTGAGGTGACCATATTAATGTTCATTAATTGGGCTCAATTGTTTACGCAGGCTCAATTTGCTCAAATGCGTCCTGTTGCGATGCCCCAATCTGTTGCTCCTCGCATGCCTATGTATCCCCCTGGTGGTCCAGGTATGGGTCAACAAATATTTTATGGCCAAGGCCCTCCTGCCATCATTCCTTCCCAGGTAAACCATGTTACCTTTTAATCTTTAGCAGCGCACCCACAAATATTATCTCTCTGATTTGTCCTTGAGTTATGGGGTAATTTCATAATATTTATGTTCTTTATTGGAAATTTTCTCAGCCTGGATTTGGGTATCAACAACAACTTGTGCCTGGAATGAGGCCTGGTGGGGGTCCAGTGCCAAATTACTTTGTGCCAATGGTTCAGCAAGGGCAGCGTCCTGGTGGAAGACGTGGAGGTGCAGTCCAGCAGTCCCAGCAGCCAGTTCCTCTTATGCCACAGCAGGTTGGTAGAACTCCATCTAGTGTTTGTAATTTTGTGGGTCATCGTTCCTTTTTTGATCACTAACCTGTTAAATTTGGGATTGTGACAGATGCTTCCTAGGGGGCGTATGTATCGCTATCCTTCTGGTAGGGGCATGCCTGATGGTCCCATGGCTGGAGTGGCTGGAGGCATGTATTCTGTTCCTTATGATGTGGGTGGGATGCCCCTTCGTGATGCATCACTTTCACAGCAAATTCCCATTGGTGCTTTGGCTTCTCATCTGGCTAATGCATCTCCAGAGCAGCAGAGGACGGTATGCTTTTGTTAGATATCTGAATTTCTACTGCATCATGTATGCAATATACCTGATATTGATGGATAATAGAAATTACAATTGGTATTAACTTCCCAAGTGACAGTTACAATAATAAATCATTAAAACAGAATCTTCAATTGGTAATAAATAACTTCTGCAGGGATGGTTACAAAAGTAAACATTAAAACAGAAACTGTACTAATATTGGTAACTGCTACAACAATACAGAAACCATGAAACATCCAACCACTGGAAATTAGGGATCCTAGTCTCCCTTGTAAAACCAATAATAAAAATCATCTGAAAACATTTCTTTCATCCTTATTCTATTTACATACACGCACCTATTCACATAATTGGACCTAATGGCGTGCTAACAGCATGTAGCTTCTTCTAATGTTTACTATGTTAACAGTTCCTAGTTTTACCCTGAGCTCCATTCATTTCCCATTTTAGCATCCTTAAGTAACCACTGTTTGTTGGTTGTATATTTGCAGATGCTGGGTGAGAATCTTTACCCGCTTGTGGAACAGTTGGAGCCTGACAATGCTGCCAAAGTTACTGGCATGCTTCTGGAGATGGACCAGACTGAAGTTTTGCACTTACTTGAGTCACCAGAAGCCCTGAAAGCAAAGGTGGCAGAGGCAATGGATGTCCTTAGAAATGTTGCACAGCAGCAGGCTGGCGGTGCTGCTGATCAGTTGTCTTCATTGTCACTTAATGACAGCCTTGTTTCTTAAGTTATTTATGCTGCTGGGATTTACTTCCCTGGTGAATGACTATTTATCTTTCCGGCACTGGCTTTATCCGAATTTCAGATTGAGTTGTTTTATTTACTAGACTAGGTATTTTCAGTTTTTGGATCTCCTTCCTTGGGTTGAAGGCTTGTTTGATTGCTGATATTTATTATTATGACTTGAATTTGGAACTTGAAATTCTTTGTTTGGTTACTTATGGGTGGGGTAAGTGATTCTGATTTGCTTATATGACGCCGCGGTCAATTGATGCTTTGTTGCATGCCCTCCTTAGCTTTGGTATGAACCAGCAGATAAAAAACCTGTATTTGCATTGAAGCGACCTTGCTTCTCTTGGCCATGGGATGCCATCATTGCGAAGACCCGAGTTTGTGGTCCAAGCATAGCAGGATTGAGACATCTGAAGTTTTCCTGCAACTTCAGAGGAAATTTGATAGAATGTTCTGCCAGTATTTGTGGAACTCTTGTCCTCTGGAACTGTTTATAGTAGACTAGAGATTAGTAAAGTTTGGTGTTTTGTTGCTGTTTTTCATTGCCTTTTATTTAACTGGCTTTTACTATTACTGGCCTGTAATTTGTGGATTCCCTCTAAATTTATTCTTCAAACTGTTTAACCCTAGGTGTTGGCCCTCTGCTCCTGCATTTCCAAGCTTTTTCTTAATCACGTTGGTTTCTTCTTCTTGTTCTTCATTCTTCTCTTTCCCTCTTTTTTCTTCCTTCGTTTCTCTATTTTCCCCCATATCCTTTTCATTGTTTTTTTTTCTTATTTCCTTTCCATCTCTGGTTTTTCTCAAGTCCAGTGGGTTTTTGAATGACTGTGTCCATCTTTTTCTAATTTGATATTTCTAAGTCCTATTGACAACTCGGTAGTTTTGCAAGGACATCATATACCGGGTTTGAATTTACGACATTCCATTTATTTACCTTCACCTTTTAAAAGGTAGAATACTAGCTGCCATTGAATTCTAGCCATTAGGTTATTTGACATGATATTTCTATTTCTTTTAAAAAGGAGAAAAGATAACCCATGGTCTAATAGATAGACGAGATGTTATTAAACATGTAAGAAATCCAAGTTCTAATCTAGTGGAGCATGTCCAAATAAATTTAGTAAGTTGTAGTATGGATTTGGTTGATTATATAATTTTGAAGTAAATTGTCTTGAAGAGTAGGTACTAATTTGAGAATTTGAAAGAGAGCTTGTACTTGAAAGTTGAAAGAAATTGACTTAATCTACAAATGAAGTAACTTATGTCAGGTTTAGAATGAGTTAAATAATGTAATTTATTAGGCTTCTAAAACTGGCGGGGGTTTGACATAGGGGTGCCCATTTCAGTTTGTAAGGTGTGATCAAAGTCCATTGGGGTGGAGGCCAATTTAGTTCTAAGCAGGCATGTTTCTTGAAGGATATTCAAATTGTATTTTCTTTGACAAATGTAGATTCCTTGTGAATTTCTTGCCATTTCAAATCCCATAAAATATTTTAAGTTTTTTAGGTCTTTAATACTGAATTTAGTATCCAAAACATGCTCTAATTGTGAAGTATCTTTCATGTTGTTTACCTACAATCATCAGATCATCAACATACACTACCACAATAATAAAACAATGATTAAGTATGGTAAAAAGGAGTAGTCAGACCTATATTGCTTATAATCTTAAGGTAATAAGAGTGTTGGAAAGTTTTTGATTCCATTTCCTACTTGCTTGTTGTAGGCCATAGATGGATTTTTTTAACTTACAAACTACATCAGATTTTTAGGCCATGTGGAACTTTCATACACACTTCTTCATATAGGTCTCAATGTAAAAAAAAAACATTATTCTAATTGGTGTAAATACCAATTATTAGAGGCAACCAAGGATAGAAGAAGTCGTATGATAGACATTTTAACTATTGGGCTAAAGGTTTTAAGATACTCAATACCTTCAGTTTGAATATAAAGAAATTTTTAATATTTTTTTTGAAAAAAAGATTTTGTTTAAAATAATAAAATAATATTTATCATTAATATATTTTTAGTTTTTGAAATACTATAATAACAAAAATTATATTTGAAGAAATTGATTAAGTCCTCCAAAATCCTCTAAAATCTTTTTCCAATGCAAATTTTAAATTCTCCAAATTAGTGGACTTTTGGTGTTATGAAGAAAAATAAATCTCCAAAATCTTTCTACTTTTTTTCACCAAATCCTTCTTATTTTTCAAAATCCTCGACTCCCTTCTCCTTTAAACTTCCAAATATAACCTTAGTCACTAATCGAGTCTTATGTATTTCAATAGTTCTATTGGCTAAAAAAAATTGAGTTTAAATATCCATTTGCAGTCAATGAACTTTTTGTTAGGTGGGAGAGAGACTAAGTTCCAAGTGTTAGTAGGAGTAAGGGACTCAATCTCTTTATTAATAGCATTCTTCCAATTTGAATCGGTAACAACTTTAGAATAAAAAAAGGGTTTAGTTAATATAGATAACTTAAGATTAAAACAACTATGATTGTGAGATAAATTATCATAAGATAGAATATTACTTGAATTATGAGAAGGGGAAAGAAGAGAGGTACCTTGAAGTAAAGCACAATGAATGTCTTGTAAATATGTTGAAGGTCTAGTGATCATGTTGGATTTTCTAGTTGGCTGAGATTGAGAATTAGGACTAAGAAATTTAGATTGAAAAATCATGGGATAATTAAGGAAGACGGTTATTTAAGAAAACATAATCGGATAAGGTATGAGTCCAAAAAAGTTTTAGAATAACAGATTGAAAAAGAAGAGCTCTAGCATCAACACCTTTTTAGGTGTTGATGTTCTACCTAAAAATGTTATTTTATTGAGGAGTGTTAACACAAGAAGTTTGGTGAATGATTTCATGAGTGATCATGTGTTTCATGTAAAGGTCTTTAAAAATAAATTCGTGACCATTATCCGTTCTTATTGTCTTGATATTCTTTTGGAAATGAGTTTTAATATAGGTAACAAAAGCTTGAATAAGTTTAGAAGTTTAAGATTTATAGTTCATAAGGTAAATCTAGCAAAAACGACTATGATCATCATTCACTATTAAGAAGTACTTATGACAAAGCATGGATGAAATGGAGTGAGGACCCCATATATTCATACGAGTCAATCCAGTGAGAAGAATAAGTATTGCTAGTAGAAAAGGGTAAACACATATGTTTGGCAGAAAAATAGGAGTCACAAAGGGTACTATGTATAGCAAAACTATTTAAAATATTTTTTTTTAATTAATATGAAAGCACTACTATGAGAAGTGTGATCAAGACGATAGTGCCATAAATTACACTTGTCAATATTATTGAAACTAGAATGAATATGAAGAGCATATGTACAATCATTTATTTAATGATGGAAGCTGAGGTAGTATAAACCATGATCGAGTCTAGCTGCACCAATTAGGATAAAGTTAGAATTCGCATTGAAATTAATAGTGCAATTTAAAGAATTTTCATAGAGTCTGTTTTGCAAAGATGATTGTTGAACTTGGAGAAATTTCTAATTAGTTTATCCTTGACACTAGAAGGAGCGGCGTATTGACGTTCATATTGAATAAATATTGAAAAAATGTTATTAACAGGAGGGAAAAGACTTAACAATATTATTTGAGACCTAACTGAATCATATTTCACGTTTATGCCTTTGAAAAATTTAATAACGTAATCAGTTTCCTTATAATTTTTGATTATCAAAATAAGAGTGCATATGCATTTCACAAGGCAAGAACAAGACAAAAGAGGTCGAAAATTTTCAAGCTCCTGCCAAATCTTCTTCAAGATTGTGTAGTACTATGTAATAGTTTGGTCTCATTGTTTGAGGCCAACATTTTATTCTTTAAGATCGTTTACACTGAAAACATCACCTTGGTGGTAACGGTCACACAACTCCACCCAAGTGTTATGAGTGGTGTCTATCCAGAGGTCTCTAAGTGACGTCTCCTTCAATGGATTTTGTCATCTAAGTCATTACCATGGTGTTGCACTTGTCCCAATCAAGAGCAAGCTGATCAGTATTAGGAGGGAGATTCAGGGTTTCGTCAAGGAAATCGAGTTTGTTTTTAAATTGCATGACCATATGAATAAAATGAGACCACAAATCATAGTTGAAATTCGTTAAACGGGGTGAGATGATGACAAGCCCAAGGTTTCACTAAGATGCATGAAATAGGAGTCAAACGTATCGTTTGGTAGCCATAAGTGGTTGTTTGAGTGGTGGTGACAGTGGAAGATTGAGATGAGGAAGATGGTTGTGGAGGTGGGTCTGCATGTTCATTGATTATTTCTGGTGAAGCCATGAGAGCACTACTACGAAATGTACTTTTCATAACATCATCTTACTATGACCATTAATTCAACTGTAGTAATAACTAATTTTTAGGCGCATTTTTTTATTTACTAAAATACTTTTTACTATGGTCCTTCCTAGCAACCGTGGCAAGCAATATGTGGAGTGTCAGACTTCGAATCCCAACACCAACAATTTTCCATTTTTTCGTTACAAAAATGGTGTGACTCTTATAATCTTATATTATATTAAAATTAAAATAGTTTTAACCATGATTTAAAATAGAAACCGTTGTCATGTGAAGGTAAAGCCCCCTATAAGTATTTTAATGATGTCAAAACAATTATAAATCACTCTCTATCTTGGTTGGTGTAACACCCCATTTCTATCCGGCGGATAATAATAAAATCAGAGCTCAACATAGATAGGATGCTACATTTACAACTTAAAATAAAACTTCATTTAATCGCATATAAAATAGATACATAACACTTAATTCAGATGAACTGATAACAACCTGATTTATTCTTTAAAATCAAACAACTTTTTATTGATAAACAGCGGAATCTACATACCCAACTTCAATTCATTTAACATCTTTTATTCAACTAAAACAACTTCAAGACAACAATTATTTCATGTAATCAACTTAAAAATTCAGCAACTGAAATAATAATCAACAACTAAA